TCTTTTCAGTCTGACTCCAAGTTCCGATGAGAGGCCACCGTACACTACACAGCCGTAGTCAATGTGGGGGAAGATGAGGGCGGATACTAGGAGTCTACGTGTGGATATGGGTAGGAGATGGCGGAAGCGATGGAATTATATACCATATCTTTAAAAAATGCAGAGATAGGAGAATTCCATTTCACTGTAAACGCATAGAAAAATTGTATAAGGGGCTAAGAAAAAATACAACAAAAAACTAGAGGCAATGAAAAAACAAGACGAATTCGAGCCAAAAAATAATTGTTCACTATAATCTTATTCAATAACTCATTATTAATCCGCTGTAGCAATTAGTAATTAAAGTTCCTATTCGAATTTGTAGACCATTTTATTAAATTATTAACATTAATTCGAGCTGGTCTAGATAAAAAAAAAGGAAAAAAAATCTAATTCACTATGCAAAAACATTCCTCTTCATTTCCTGCGCCATAAAAAAAACCGACACCTCTGTATCACATTTCCTTGAAGGCATGAAGGCGGGGACCCCGGCCCCTCGGGGTATGAATGAAATGGTACAGGTACCTATAAATCAGCGTTTAACTCCTCACGTAAGAAAATCAAATTGTAAATTACTTTATACATATTCAAATAGTCCAAGCTAATAACGGGAATAAATTACAATATAATGTTAATATAAGCCTCCTCGGGCCGATGAATGAGAAACGTCTCCTAGAAAGCATTTTTTTTTTTTTTTATCTTGGTCGGTTAAGTAAGGATTTTTAGAACAGTTTAAAATCAATCAAAATGGAAACAAGAGAAGGTTTAGAATTACAACATTTTCTTATTTATTGGTACATAATAGCTTGCTAATACTGATGCACAACCAATTCTTGCGAGATAGTATTAGTTGAAAAGTAGATATATCTGTATCTCTCTCTCCATATATATATATATATATATATCGGTTCTATACTAACCATGTCGGCAACCTTCAGGTGGAAAACATAGCTACGGGAGATACTTATAGCGATAGAATATAAAATAAAATATTCAATAAAAACATTTATGCAAAAATATTCATGAAAATTAATAATATCCTATAAAATAATACAAAAAAGAAAAGAAAATATATATAAATTGAACGGAAATAATTAAAGAAACAGAACTAAATAATCATATAAAATAATAAAACGAAGGAAATAAAACAATTATATAAAACCAAACAAAGGTACATTGAATAAGTAATACCTATAGTACAATATAAGTAATACCTATAGTACAATAAGAAAGCATATAAATACAAATTTTAGAATAAATAAAAATAATTGAAGATGACTTCATAGCAGTTATACGATTCGTTTCTAGAAAACTGTGTATTTTCTATAAGCTAATTGGCGTAGAAAATGCGGTTCAACAAATTATTTTTTTCTTTTTTAATAAAGTAATTAAAACATAGCATCATTAAAAAAAAAATAAAGGGATTAAAACATAGTATGAAACACTTTAGTTTTGCAGACAATTTAGTAATCTTTCAATTAACGATGGGTACCATCAGTGTAAAATATTTATACTTTTTAAGTCTTCGCAAATAAAGTTTCTTTTACTTCATAACATTTTGCGGTAATGTCGGGGAAATGTGATTATTTTTCCCACCTGAAGGAGAAGTAGATATTCAAAATGATAGCTCATTCATTGGATTTGATGAAGAATTGACGAATATATTGCGTAGCAACAAAAAAGCACCTTTAAGAAATATCTCATGAAGATTTTAGATGACCGATTTATGCAATTATTGCTGTGGATCTAAAAAAAATAGTAGAATCTTTAAAAATAATTTTTTTATTATTATTATTTATAAAATTTACAACACCAAATGTACCTTCACCAAATATACATTCACCAAATGCGAAACAGATAAATAAATGACATGACATGGCTTGTAGAGAATCTACCCATTGGTAGGACTCTAATAAAGTTTCTAAATTAGGAATCGAGGAGGAAGCAAGGTTAGAAACGAGAGGATTAGGATGGCTCTGAAGTTTATTAGGGAAGAATAGGTATCTGGATTAGGCCAAATTGGAAACATTTTTTTTTTTTTTTTTTTGTCTAGTAAGTGCTGAAGTAGACGGAAACGTCGAGCGGTTTCTTGTCGTTTCAGTCTGTTATGAGGATTCCAAGTTAGACGTTTGTCCAGATGGAGTCCTAGGATTTGTTCAACAGGGATAAGTGGGGTATCATTGAAGGATACTGTAGGACAGGAAGTCATAGGTTTACCTTTAAAATTTAAAGAGTATCTGTAAACATAAACATACTTTTGTCTTCAATAGTTAAGCAATTAAGCATGAAAATATGTTTACCAGAATTATATATATTTTTTTTAATGTCATTATTAGTTCATTTCCTTCGTCTGAGAAATGATTTATTTCGAAGTTGGAAAGCGCTCTGTGCTATAACTGGAATTTCTAATTTCCTCCATTCCCTACCTTTCAATTTCCTTTCCGAGTTCTTGATCTCTCAATTTTATGAGACTGTTCTGGAACTGTGTAAGTTAGATTTGTGAAAACATACGAGATTCCTATGTAAATTAACTTAATAGAAATTCCAAATTATCATAATTAGCTATAATTTAAATTTTAAATTTCTGTATAAATTAATATTGTAGAGCTAAAGGTTTGAGTGGTTTGCCAAGAAGGAAGGATGGTTTCTGTTTGTGATCACATTATTTACAAATAGTCAAATCGAGTACTATATTATACCACCACTTCTTTGCTGAAAGTTCGAGTTACATTAACTGATTAAAATTGTGATGTCTAGAGAAGATTTATTTTTATTTTCAAATACAAAATATGAACAAAAATATAGGAAGGCCTTTTCCTTCCTATATATTTGTTCATATATACTTTTATTGTAATCGTGAAAAATTTAAAATCGGAGCACTGAGCCAAAATAACCAACCCTCGCACAATGCGATCGGTATGTGTATATTAACAGACTAGTGGAAAAATGATTTGTATTCAAAGTCGTGTGGCACTAAAACTACATATTTAAAATAGATCTAGGTTAAACAGCATCTGTTTTGTTTTAATTTGCTTACGGCAAGTAGTACTTTTATATTTTTATAAAAGAATTCAATTGTTCACTGCTTTATATTATTTTGGAGGTCTTCTATATAACTCTTGACAAAAAAATCTGGTGCGTGCAACACACAACTTTCACTTACCCCTCCCTCTACTGTGGATAGAAATTATTTTCTGGCAATGTTGGGCTATTATAAAAACTTTTAAGTATATTTTAAACGGAGGTAAAGCTTAAAGCTTACTTATAACAAATCATTAAGACAATTATAATTACAAAAAGTTTATTTATTATATCGACCGCGATCAATAAAAATCTAGTTTTATAAACCACATCGCTTCAGTCTCTGAGCCTTTCAGTTGACAGAATGGTTAACTCAAATTTAAACATTTTTGTGTAATGCCATTTTATTAATATGTCTAGCTGGAAAAGTTATATCTATACTGACAGTGAGCAAGTTGATTCCAGAGTAGATGATTGCAATATTGAAGTATAAAACTGTGAATAAAGGTATAAATTTTGCTATTAGTAAACTACACCGAAATTAATAATAAAGAATGTCAAAATTGGAGTTAGTCATTCTGTCAACCGAAAGACTCATATATGCCTAGAGAGATTTGAAAGTACATCTGAATATTTAACCTATGAATGATTATTAATTTTATGACTATACTAAAATGTTATTTTCCATTGTAAAGTTTACTAAAATGAAATTACGAGATTTTCATTGCCTGCCATAGATAGGTCAAAAGTTGTCACACTAATTGTAAGTGGATAATGTTGGGATTTCACAAAGGGAAAATTCATGAAATTATTCACTAATTTAATTTTCTAAAATATTATTTGATGATTTTTTGGATTAACGGCCAATATATATCTAAATATTTAAATATAATATCATATATAGAGTTATTAAACTGCAGCAAAAGTGTTTAAGGTTATAAACATATCCATGAAATATTTTTATATTTCACTTCTTCTTTCAAACAAGTACAATTAAATAGTATTTTAAACAACGGCATTGGCATGATTCGGTAGATTTTAAATACTTTCTTCTCAAACTTTATAAAATTTTATAAGTTTACATTTAGTAAGAAAATTTCATTTAATTTCATAGAAAACATGTGATGTACGTTAATTAATCTTAGTTTTCTGAAATTATTATTTATATTTTTTTCGTCAATCTCCATTACCTTCAACAACTTTATTTATTTGATATTATTTTTCTAAAATTCTCCGTTTTCCAACGATATATTACACGTATACCTTCTGACTGTTATTTCCGGAGATTCATTTTCTACCTGGATAAGCATTTTTCTTTTTTTCTCATGTTAAATATCAGTTTCGTATGTGATTATTGAGCTGGGCTTACCAGACACACACACGCACGTACGCACGAACGAGAGTTTAATACTTTGTCTTGGTCAATTACACAGGTTTATTACTGGAAATGACGAACCAAAAGATGTGTGCAAAGTTTAATGGGCAGTATTTTTGCTAATAACGCACAATTTCTAGGAACTTAATCACCTTCGAGGTGATTATGTATATATCATTATTATTATATTGAAGTTCTTAGTTTACTCAGAAATCTCAAAGAATCTAATTCCTCTTCTAAAGTACATCGATACCTTTGCGTAATATTGTCTGTCTACTATATTGCTGTCTGTAGATGGCAAGAGTTTCACATTAACATACTATTCTTCACAAATTGTATACGTTTTAGGTTAATTGAAGATAAACTTTCTTTCTTTCCTAATTGTCTTACCTGATTTCTCTGGGGAATGCCCTTATTTTATAAATTTAGCCATTAGGGGAATGATAATGATAATTTCTTGCCGATTGCAGTACTGACAAAGTAACACCTTCTAGAAATAATATATAAAAATAATTTATTCACAACACAATATATATTTACAACTGACATTAAGATATGTTTCCAGATATCCAGAATCTAGATTAGCTAAACTATTCAATGGCACCATACCGATAGTCTTGGATTCATTGAAGCAGCACTACTTCATCGACAGGGATGGAGGGATGTTTCGCCACATCCTCAACTTCATGAGGAATTCTCGTCTTCTCATTCCAGACAACTTTCCAGATCTTGATCTTCTGCTTGAAGAAGCCAGATACTTCGAAATTCAACGTGAGTGTTATCTAGGTTCATTCATTATATTATTTTTTATTTATTTATGATATTTACAACTGTATTAATAAATAACATACATTTAGTAAATTTGATAACAAACAATAATAACATGAAATCACTTGTTAAGAAACTACCCACTGGTATATTAAAATTAAAATTTATTCTAATAATTTCCGTCGTTGTTTCATGAGCCCAACTGTTCTATAAGTTAATCGTTCTCTTTAGTACATTGTTAATATAAGTTTACATATTTAAATACCCAGACATAAAAACAATTTTTTTGTTCTATCTAATATTTACGTTCGTTGACCTAATTAATTCTGTTCATTTAAACTGATCTATGTTATTTATGGAGTTCTTTTTAAGTTCTTACAGCAATAACTAGTTGTCTCCTGTTTAATACAGCGTTAGTTAAAATATATTTATTACAAAAAACATAACATACAATCAATTTTTAGGTTATTTGCTATCAAAATTAATTTAATGATTCTCTTTTCACCTTGTTTTAATTGTTTGGACAGGAACAATTAATTTTTCTTTAGTAACTCGGGTATCCTATAGACATTATTATTTTCAAATTATTTTAGGTGAAAGAAACTTCATGTAAAATGATTTCTTCGAAATAGGAATCATTTGATAACTACCGAAAATGAGTTCTCCGTAGTTCCGGTCTAGTCATATAATACGGTTCTATAATTGAAAAATATATTCAGGCAATCTTTCGAGACATGGCTTTTCTGTTGATGAGACATTTTACCTTGTCGAAAGATTAAAATATGATTGATGAGTATTATTAATAGAGTAGTTTCTCAGGGAACTACAGAATTCTAAAAAAAAAAAGAAGCCATCTGCTCTTTATTTTTTTTATTTATTAACATAAATATTTAATATGCCATTGTTGGAATTTGCTGTAAAGCATTTTTAGCAATAAACAAATCTTTACTCTTTCGAGTAGAGTTTAAGCTAGAAAGTCTCTTGGCCCCTGCCTTAAATATCGCCGTCGGGGTGAGATGTATGGGTTTGTGATGGAATTAAGTGTTTGGATTAAAGGGTTCATGTAAGTCCGTCTCTGCTGGCAGTTATTATAAGACTGCGTTGCAGTATCTGAAACCTTTTGGATGTTCTAGTCTTTGTGTAACTAGTCTTTTGTCACAAAGAAAGGTGTGTCTGCAATTTTTCGTTAAACCTTTTATTGAAAACTTTGAATTTTGTGGATGCTATAGTTTTTCACAATACTCCATAGCTCTATCCTGTAAGTCTATAACGTTTTTTAAATTAATTTGTGGATAGCTAGTTTGTTAGTTAGGGATAATTTCGAGTGTATGCCAAGTAGTCTGGATAATAGTCCAAATCTTTTGTTCAGTTGTTTTCTCCAGCTACCAATGTATCGAATAGCTTCTTCTGATGTAGAAATAGAAACATTATTGAAGAAAACTTGTGTGCAATTACAATGATTTAGAGTAAAAAACAATGAATACACTTTTCGTTCCGTTCATTTTTTTCTTTCCGCCTGGTAGTCCAATTGAAAATATCATCCACAGGGTCCTGTATGAAAAGAAATGCCGTAATTGTTTTTTTTTGTGATTTGTAAGTAGTGCAGTTGGTCGTGTTCTGCTGTGAAAATGTTGAAAAATAATGGACCCAGTAAACTGCCTGAAAATGAATCATTGGTTTAAAATTTTTAATAATTTAGTAATTGTTTTCGTTTTATTCTGAGCGTAGTATTTCCGATTTCATTTGCGAATAAAAATAAACAAACACTGTCATCCAATATTGGTAAAATGTAATTTAAACGAGAGAGTTTACTAAATCTGAAACAACATCAAATAAATGAAAAGACCAACCATTGCATCCAATCATGTAAATATATATTTATTTTATACCATTCAATATTTCGTTTTTATTCAGTTATTTCCCGAAACATAAAATTGTTATATCTAATGGTGATTTTTTTTCGAACTTGTTAATTCTAAATTGGAGTGGCGATAATTAATATTAATAAAAATAATTAATATTTTATCGATTAAATACTCAACTTATTACGGTTAATTGTTGCTATCAGGGTTGTCGTATTACATATCCAATGAGTAACTTTCTTCAAACTCACCTTCATTCAACTCACAAGGAGATAAAATCCAACTTATTGACGATAAATGTGATAGGTATCTATTTTGAACGATTATGAAAGTTTTTTGTGTAGGTGGAGTTTATTAGTAGTGCAGTGGTTTTGGTTGCTTCCTCTTCCAGACTCTTAAAAATATATATATATATATTTCTTACTATAATTCGAATGAGTGTAATTAGGTTTCAATTTATTTCTTATGATTAGATTTGACGTTTTGAAATGAAAATTGGTAAATCGATAAAAAATATAAAGATTCTTTTAGTGACAAAGTCGACTTTGTAACTTCTGTCAGTTCTTCTCCAGAATACTTAACTCTGGAATTTCCAATAGAAAGGGTCATTATCAATGAAGAATCCTTACAAATAATCCAGTTCGGTCTATTTTATTTTTACGATCCTGCGAGTCAATAAAGTGACGACTGAGTTATTTTCCATAATCATAAGTAACGCATTTACGGTGTCTTGAAGGATTGAATTGCTCTTATAATTTTTCAATTTGTTTAGGTCACTTCAACGTTCCGAGCCAATGGACTCATTTACAAGATATTAAAATCTTGTAACATATTTAACCAATTTTCATAACATATAATTGTATTTTCGTTTATTTTTAGACCAATGATATAGTTCTTTGCATTTTATTCGCATTTGGAAAAAAAAAATAAAAACAATACCATACCTCCTCCTTCTATTGTTTAAAACGGATTCCATTTTAAACAATAAAAGGATATTATTGGACTGAAAATAAACGGCAATAGAATTACATAGTATGGAAGTTGGTTAGAGAGAGAGCTCACCTAGGCAGTTTTATCATGAAATGAATGTAACAAAAAGCAGAATCACACTGACATAATACAATAAAGAAATAGCGGATTGTTTTGAAAAATATTATGTTTCCTATTCTTGTTGAGCGCTGCTATAGTTTGGTCAAAAATGCTAAAGATATTGGATCAATTAGGTCCTGTGGCCTAACAAAATTGTTTTACACAGTTTAGTTTCTCGATAAAAAAATGAGTTTATACAAGAAACTGGTCGAGAAATTTACCCGCGTAAAAGGATCCCTATGAAGCAGTCAATTTAGGATATATATGTATACATATATATATATATATATATATATATATATATATATATATATATATATATATATATTCCTTTAAAGATGATAATTATTTTGAAATAAACAGAAGAAAACTATATACCACGATATTTAAATTATTGTTGAGAACCTATTTAAAAAAAAATAAAAAAAGAAGAAGTCATTACTGGAATAAAGGATGCTTTTAGGAATAAATTTTCTATGTTTTTTTTATACATGCGTACATTTAGTAGGATAATGTGCATTATAATTTAAAAAGATTATATATTGCGTTATTTAAATATTTAGATCAAATCACTTACAATTTTTTTTTTCAAGTTAGGGGTAGGTGCCAATGGGTACCGACCTCCCTCATGCCTGACATGCCAATTCTATCAATAAAGATTACATCCACTTATTATTACAGGCTGTGACAGGTGTGTTTAAAAAATAAATGTTAAAAAAATCATTTACAGAAAGATATATGAACCAACAAAAAAACAGTATATTTGTTTTTATTTTTGAAAGCCTTCCAGGTGGATAAGCCTGAACAAAGATCTAAACGTTTAGCGTTAATTAAATTTAAAATTCATTGAGTTTAGCTAGAAAGCTGTGGATCATGAAATGAATTATTTTAAAAAGCATTATGATTTTTAGTTTTATTCAGACCGGTTCCGTCACTTCTATCAGGGGATAATTGACGGTCTGTTGTTTGTGGTTTTTACAATTTTTTGACATAAAACATTTTAAACAAATGTAAAGTAACAAAAATCAATCTAGTGACAAAAATCAAGTTACTCTTTGCGTCAGTTGAATAAATTAGTTTAAAAGTTTTCTTTAAAGTTTGTTTTTAATGGAAGACACCTATATTTAGCACTGTAATGGAATTCGAATAAATATATCTTACCTATGAAAAAAATGAAATGTGTTTGATGACGATAAAAAACAAAACATGGAGGCTAAAAAAGTGCAGGTTAGGGATTTCCTTTCGACGGTCCATTGTTTTGATCTAATTAAAAAGGACGAAGGGCTCGGAGGGGGGGGGGAGAGGAGGAGTAGCTAATTTAACGAGAAACATAATACGTATTATGACGAGGGAGCGCTGGAGGGCTTGTTTTGTTTGGACCGTTCCAAAAATGGTGGTGGTGGTTGCTGGCCAAACAGCCCTCGACCCATTAGCCTTACACAAACGGTCGCTCCCATTAGCCCTAGCCCCGGGGGGTGTTAGCTCTGTTTTTAATGGGAAGGGAGGGGGGGGGAGGATAATCCCAAACTCTCCTCAAAAATGCAAAATCTAAGGGCCTCCGGTCGGATTCAATAGTGGGCTCATGAAGGTAGGATCCATGTCATATTGTATCCGTCGTTAATTGAATTATAATTAATGACATATTCTTAAATTTCAATGATTACTATTTATTCATTAACAAAAACAAATAAAAAAATAATTACATTCATTTAGCAAGGGAATTCTCCTTCAAGTAATACTGAAATACCCCAGTGAAAACACACAAATAGTCTATTTAATTCACACAATTGATGAAGCTTCTTATATTTCCGAAATATTAAATTACCAAATTATAGATAAAATTCATTAACTTTTCTTACTGAAAAATATCTCTCAGATGTTATTAAAGATTCAGCTATCCATCAATTTATATCCGTACATATATTATTACAATAAGGCTCGAAATCGGTTTTGTACCAAATATAAGCTCCTGTCATGCTCAAATACCATGAATGGGGTACCGTTGGATTCAGAATTTCACGGGGGATTAGCGAATCGTATTCTCCACTTTTG